AAATCTTCTCTTACTTCTCAATATACAAGCTGACCAACACTGCATTACCTACTTTCAATGTAGTGCTCCTCCCTTTGGATTTGACTTCACCGGGCCCTTGAGATCCTTGTGCACGATCTCGAAAGGGCTGATCGTCTTCACTTTGCCTTGTGATCTGTGACTGAATAGGCTGTTTGTCTTAATCCCTTCGCACACAACCGTCACACACGCTGTCTCGCTTCATGCCAACCTCAGGCATCCCACCGAATGCTTTAAGCACTTGACGTAATTTGGTGTCTGACATTTGACCCAGACAAAGATGCTATGTTCCAATTGCAATATTACCCTTTTCCAGAGTGACGGCTTAATGAGCTTCTGCTGCCGCTTCCAGGTTCACATGCCGCACAAAATGCTTCATCGGACGCCTAATCACCGCGAATGTTACATGACCCACAACCCGTCTCGCTTATCCATGTTCAAACTGGATGAGCACACCGCGATCGATCAGCGCAGGTACCGACACAAGCATCCAGCTCAGCGCAGGTACCGACACAAGCATCCAGCTCAGCGCAGGCACGTGCTGCACATCAACCAATTTCACATTACAGCCACTATTTAGGAGAAAACGCACCTTAAGCTTGGACACTGGGAATTGGCCACATTTATACTAATGGAGGCCGTCATTCCCGACACTCGATAAATTGCAAATGTCGCTCGTCATATCGCAACGTACGCCACTGTCCAGCAGCTACGTGGAGCCTTTTACCGGAAAGTCAATCGACGCCGAATACATCATTTTGTCTACACCTTTCGACTCCTTTACATCTGGACAGTTCATCTGCCTGTGTCCGCTCTGTTCGTACCCCTTACGCTTTCCTTGAAAGCCACTATTACTACGTTTGGCTCTCAAGATCTGATTTTTCTTCCTGTCTCGACCCTTGGCCAGCCTTGCTCCAGTGCGTTGGTCGAAAGCTTTGAAAGTATTAATTCTTTACGCGTCTCTGTAACGTGTTGTTATCTCGACGAGACATTTCTCGGCATCCAATAATGTCACGTTGGTGTGCGCTTCAATGATACGCACCATGGCGTCATACTTGGATGACAGACTTACCATCAGAAGCATCAGCATCTCATCATGGTCCACATCATCACCTGCTATACTTAGCTCAAGGCAGAGTTCACGAAACTTAAGCATGTGGTCCATGAAATTTGCGCCCCTCTCCATCACAAACTCGTACAACTGTTTGCAAAGATGCACTCTGTTGTGCAGATTCTCTTTAGCGAAGAATGTCTTTAGCAACTCCCACGCTTCCATAGTTGTTATGCATTTTCGAACTATATATTGGTAAGCTTGAAAATTTTGACGATCACAGCCAGACCCTTCATATCTACAGATTTCCACTACGGGGTATCCCGTTGCACTGCCGACTCTGGCTGTAAGAAAACATGACCCAGCAAGTTCATCCGGGCAAGCGGCAATCGGCAATTAAGCTTTCACATGAAATAGTCCTCGTCCGTGAGTCCTGGCGTTCATGTGCTCATAAGCAATAGTCCTCTCTGTGGCATTGCCATGTGAAAAAGCGGATTAATATGACTGTTTTATCTACTGCATCTACATTTCTAGAACCTGGTTTCTCTTGAACTCTAAATGATCAGTAATTGACTATGTGTTTAATACCCAATCTGCGACTTAGTACGGTAACGAAATGAACCCCTGTCTCTAGTTGCTACCGAGAAGCTGTACAACTGGTAGTCTAAGTAGCCATTAATGATCGCTTGAAGGCCTTCACCGGCTACAAAAAATGCGCTTGAAAGATACACCCACGACTCTATTAGGCGTGTACCAACGTACGTAGCGCCATTAGAACCAAACCACTTCAGCTTAGCGTTAAGAAGTGGTAAGACACAGAGGAAAAACTCTTTATTTGATGACCATGAAGTTGGCCAATCTTATGTTTTGAGAGTCGAGAGGATGAGAAGGAGACTGTTGTCGTAGAGTGGAAAATGGAAAGTGATTGACTCCTACTTATGCTGTCTGAAATGACTGGTTGCTACGCGCGTTAGATTGAATGATTCCTAGCCTACTCTTGAACTTGAGCGTAACCGTTTTCAACCTCAACCTGATGCTGGTTCTGATCCTTGATCACGTCATAGTGACGAACCTTGCAGATTTCAGGATGACGAACTTTGCAGACTTCAACACCCCTGTCTCTAGTTGCTTCCGAGAAGCTGTACAACTGGTACTCTAAGTAGCCATTAATGATCGCTTGAAGGCCTTCACCGGCTACAAAAAATGCGCTTAAAGGGTACACCCACGACTCAATTAGGCGTGTACCAACGTACATAGCGCCATTAGAACCAAACCACTTCAGGTTAGCGTTAAGAAGTGGTAAGACACAGAGGAAAAACTATTTTTTGAAGACCAAGAAGTTGGCCCTTTTCGAAACGGAGCAACTTTGCGTTGTGCTGACATCTCCAAGCAATGGAGTCGCGCGTTGAATGCGACATTCTCATCGTTAGCAATAATATATCATCGTAATATTGTTGATGATTTCATATATATTTTAAAGACTTTTCATCTTTGGCTATTTTTTTATTTTTCAAGTTATTTGGCAGATGATAACAACCACTGAGGAACGACTGCCGCTTGGGGCCGTTCGGATAGCCGATGGGAACGTGATCATTCCAGCATCCAGACGTCCGGATGGCTCTGAGCGAAAGGTCATTCGAATTCGCCAGGGGTACGTACCACAAGACGAGATAGCGAAGTACAAGACGGTTGCGCAACGAGTACGTTCGCAACCACATGTGCCGAATAAATGTTTTGATTGACCTTTTTGTTTGCCTTTTGTAAATCAAGCGACGCGAACAGCAGTCTAAATGTGTAAACGATGTGGACGACACTGCAGTTGATGCACTTCCGATGAATAAATTGTCTCTAGAGCATAAAAACGAGGTTCTGACTGCAAGGATCCAACCATCTACTGACAAAGCTTCTCGTCAAGAGTTACGATCTCGACAGAACATCGAGATGACAGGAGAGGCACTTGATACTTTGGGTGAAAAGATGAAAAACCACCAGCAGCAACTCAAACGACAATTGACTCGGCTCAACAAAACATTAAAGGAGATTGCACGGCTAGAAGGTGCGAAGGATGATTTGCTTACAGCCCAGCAGAAAGATAAGATACTTCGAAAGTCGACGTTGTTGCAAAAAAGGAAAGAAATTATTGCAGAACTAAGTGGAGACACTTCCACAAGGAGAAATGGTTCTGTCACCAACCCGCGCCCTAAAGTGGCTATCACATTATAATTTACAGTCAATAATAAATGAAATATTCCCTCACTATATTTGGTTCAATTGAACAATCGATTTTACAGGACCAGAACTACCAGAGCTATGGCAGTCGACGTATTAGCTACGGACCTACAGGAATCAGCCCCGGCGATGGCAGCAAGAACAAGCTTGAACTTTGAGGATGTAGCAGGTCTCTTCAAGACTGTATGTCGAACGTTTATGCGCAAGAAAAAGTGTCCACGCGCCAATTGCAAATTTGTGCACGATAAGCAGCTGTGTGTGCACTTCTGGAAGACGGGCAAATGCAGATTTAATGATGATTGCCGCAAGAATCATTTCGTGACAGTTTTGGCTTCAAATGGAAACAACGGTGTAATTGTTGCTGCTACTAACGTATCAAGTGAAGAGGTACCGCTAGAGAAGAAAAAACATGCAGAGAAAGCGACTGAACTGGGAGTAAAACCCAAGACGAATAGATCCAAGAACGAGGAAATTACTAAGAATGTAGAGAAGCAGGACGGCGACAAAAAAGTTAGCAAAATAAAAAAGAATGACCGGCGCCAAGTAGTCAAGAAAAACACTGAAAATTTTGAACCGATGACCAAACCTGTGGATCTGCGTATCACATACGATTTGGGCTCAAACGATGATGAATTAACAACGCCGCTAACTTCACGCGACTTAATCATCGTTCCTAACCTCTTTCGCGACTACAAGAAGGGTGAAATATACACGAAACTCATGCACGAGCTCGATCACTGCGGCATTCCACATGAACGGTTGCTCAAGATGTGGCATGGTAACGATAAGATTGACGGCACGCATCTTATTGTAGACGACCACTCTAGCTGGAAGGCCGAATGTCCCACATTTGATCTCGTTGTGAATCGCTTAAAGAAGTTTTTTAGACTAGACATCAAAGCAACGCGCTTTAATTGGTACAAGGACACATCCCAATGGAAACCGTTTCACTTTGATGCCGCAGCTGTAAAGCCTCAAATTGCGGCCATACAAAACTTCACGGTTGGGATTTCATTCGGCGCCACCCGCGATGCTGCTTTTGAACATGCCAAAACAAAAACTGTGGTCAGCGTGCCACAGCCGGATGGATGCGTCTACGCGTTTTCCAAGGACACGAACATGATCTGGCGCCATGGCATTCTACAAGACGTACCGGTACGCGAGGAGGGACGAATCTCAGTCATCGCATGGGGATGGGTGGACGATATGAAGGATGTTGGAGCTAATTCACCGACCGCACCGTCAACTCGGGATGCCTAAGCTTCGGTAGAGCTTACAAATGCAGACATCGAAGTGTCTTGCTGTCCTTATGATTATCCTCTAAGTTTCGATACGACATGTACAGCTGACATCGTGACAAGTAAGGACTCGTTTACATTGAATGAAAGCTCATTTGCGACGAAAATAAGGATTGGTGAAACGTTACTCAGACATCAAACAAAATAAATAATATTATTGGAGTTGAGTGTACGTGTCTACTTTAGTAAATAGTACAGTGTTCATGTTTTTGCTACCAAAATGATGTAAATATTTTTGTGGACTCGACGGTAGGAGCCGTTTGAATGCTCACTGGCCAATCATCACATGCGAGTCGCAGGTCCCTATCGTTTCTCTTTTCTTTCTTTTTTAGCCACGCGGCATGCCACAACAAATCCAGCCAATCCTATCGCTATGAAGATAAGATTCCGCCAATAGGATGCGCAATGTCGGCAAATACAAAATACGCCTCCTCTCAGACTTAATCGCAGCCAATACAAAGGCTGACAATTATGTCATGAAATTTACGTAAAGAGCAGAAACTGTAGTTTTCATTCAGGAAACTTATCCAATATATCTCTCAAAGCCTGAATGTTGGCATGAATTCTACGCCTTTTAACCTCCAGCGGCTGCTCAAATCGAAATTATCTGTTCAACACTATCTATTAACTTGCCTCCACTTGATGCGAATGAAATTTAATCGACATCAGTGATAGTGAAAGCATTGTTAATTTTTGATATGCTGAGCGACCCCTACGTTGCTCTTGAGATCATACCAGGCCCTTACAGACGTCGTACATGCTCAAGCAATGAGTTGCACTGCATCGGACAGATGAAAGACATATGCTCTTGATGTAAAATTGGCGGTAACTCTTAAATTTGTATTCAAACAAACCTAACAAAGCCTACATTAAAGATGCAATCAAAGTCTTGCAAAATGGTTACAATACAATCTATATGGTCCACATCTGAGTATTTAAAAGTGTCGTATAGATCCATGACCGACTGCATTTGCACACCGTGTGTTCTGGTATCTATTGAGAAAAAATTAGAAACGTTTCGTCACATATGGGTCTTATTCTTGCATAAATTATAAGGAAATGTTAGGCAAGAGATCAAATCGTTCAAGGTTCTGCAAGAAGGTCTGGAGATTTAATTTGGCAGCCCAGCAATTTTGTTGTGTTTTAAGACACATTCTAATCCATTATATTACTGAAAGGATGCCCTGCTTTTTTTATCGTTTTTCCTTAGCCTCACGATGCGCGTTAAGACCGTTGGCACTCATAAATAGGGAATTTTGAGCCACGATGTAATTAGCCTATAGTGGAGATGCGGCTGTTGAAGAAGCAAGCCAGTGTGCCGTAGGCTCCCTATGTGTATATATAAAAACCTTAAAACCTCGGGAGTCGATTTTGCTTGTTTTGGCTCGCACAAGCCCCACCCAGTTTACAACAGCAGCAGTCCCAGCCAAGCCTATTTAAAGCGAAAGTATTGGCAAGATGGCACGAGGAGCAGTCGGAAGACCAAAGAAGGATGGAGATCACACGCGCAAGCCGCGGAAGAAAAAAGATAAAAATGCTCCGAAGCGTGCGTTGTCGGCCTTTATGTTTTTTAGCAATGATATCCGTGACACAGTCAAGAAAGAAATGCCGGACCTTCAATTTTTAGAGATCTCAAGTGAAATTGGACGACGCTGGAAGCAAATTTCCGATGAAGATCGTCGAGTATGTTTCTATTTATTGTCTGCAAAGTAGCTAGTTTCTGATTGTTCTGTTGATTGTGCAGCCGTATGACGAATTGGCCGCCGCCGATAAGAGGCGGTATTTGGAGGAGAAGGAAGACTATGTTCCAGATCCATCTTTTGAGTCCACGAAGGGATCACGCAAGAAAAAAGATCCGAATGCTCCTAAACGTGCCTTATCTGCATACTTTTTCTTTTGCAATGATATTCGCCAAGAGGTGCGCGACGAAAACCCAAACAAGAAGATCACGGAGATTG